AGACTTTAAAAAAAGCTGTCTGCTGGTGGCCCCAAAGCCAACCCTCTTCAATGTCAATGTCAGGGCCTTTCAATTAAGGGTAGCACTCAGTGGCTCTGAATAGTACTATATCTTTTCAGCCAATGATGCCATCCAAACAGACTTAGGAAGAATGAAAGGTCAAGCAGCCGATTCCGCTGCTGTGTGGTTTAAAAAGGCAGAAAAAGAATGTTTTAACCTGTGCCAAGACGGCTGAAGAGTCCCTGCATCTAAAGAGTTGTGTGGGGGTGGGGGGGGCGGGGGGGGGGGGGGGGTGTTGAACAATGCTGTTTAGAGTTGAAGGAAGGAAATCAAGTGCTGGGATATGTCCAACTGGGATATGACCAGGTGCCCTTGAGGGGAAAGCGTACGGATAGAACAGGTGTGTTAGTCTCGATTGGACTGGAAGTTGCCCGAGGCCCCATCTTTGAAGTCAGCCTCAATTTTGCTCAGTGGGCCACTCATTGGCTAGTTTGGCCTTTTCCTTACAGAAGCCTGGCCACTCCATCTTGGGGCCACACGTCCTCACTTCCTCCTTAACATGGGCTCCCTGAGCAGACCTATTTCCTGCCATTTGTCCCTTGGACTGATCCCACCTTCAAAGGTTGCCTGAGCTCAGACTTCCTGCGCACACCCTTTGATCCCCTCAGGCCGGGGAACAGAGGCCCGCAGAGGCTGGGCGGGGCTCTGGTGGTCACAGGGGGACCAGATAGTGACAGAGGCGGCAGGCCATAAACCCCCAGGGAACAAAGGCAGTGGGCAGCCTATGGATGTCTAGGCCCCTTGTGGGCAATCAGCCCAGGGGGCGCTGAGCAGCTCCTTTTAGTTTGTAAAAAAGGGGGGTTTATGCCCTTGGGGTTATCCTATGTAGTAAAGAGCTAATATGCTAATTAGACCGAATAGCAGAATGACTGTCCGGATGACCTTCCAGAGCTGGGGCTGTGAAGGTCGAGCCCCTTGCATGAATTTTGTGCATGGGGCCTCTAGAATGGTAAATAAAAATGCAATTAAGGGTCCCAAAGGCACTCAGAGCTTCAGTGAAACAGCCATATCTGGCTATCTAAGGCCAGTTTTCAGAGGCCCCTGTGCTCACAGGGAGGACTTAGCCTTTTGTCCCCTTCCCTCCATCACCATGTGGATGTAGACAGTCAGGCCAGGAGGCAGGGTCAAGCCTCCTGATTACAGGATGAGCTTTATATCCCTTTATGTTATGTCCTTTAATCATAATTAAGCCTTCCTTTCCTTCTCTATAGATTGATTCTGAAAGGCTGGGGACTGGGTCCATGATTTGCTCATCTCTTCACTCTGACCCCCCATGGTCCTCTACTGTTTTGACCAGGCCCTGCATGGCTTTATCATGACAGAAGGAAGGACTGGGCTGGGGGAGATGGTGCTGTGCTGCCTGTATCACCTCTGATGGAGACAGTAGGCTTTCCTGGCCCTGCCGTCCTATCCTCAGGCCTGTGGCCAGCATCCAAGCAGCCAGCCCAGGCGGGACAGACAACCCTGGGAGAGAGCAAGGGAACAAAGTCAGTGGCTGGGGTTATGCAGAGCAGAGAGGAGCTCCGGGGCTGAGCAGAACACCCTGCCCCACCCCACCCCACCCACAAGTGGTTACAGGATGAGATTTATATCCTAGAAAGTCCACTGGGGAGGGCCACACTCAGACAGGAAGGGACCAACTCGAAGCTGCCATGCAGGGAAGAAGAGGGGGTCCTTTGTGAGAAGAGTCTGTATGGCAGAATTTCTAGAGTTCTTTTAAAAAACATCTTTTGATAATCTTTTATCTCTATTCAGTTTTGCCTCTGTGTTACATTAAAAATACATACAAATAAAAATAAAAATATACTTGCTTTATTTACCAATTTTCTAAAAGGCAAAAAAGTCATAAAAAGACACAAGCAGTAAACAACATATTGCACTGGGCGGAGAAAGCTTGGTTTGGGCATGAACCAATCACTTGTCCGGCAAGGCTAACCAGTCATCACACAGACTCTGGGAGCTTATTTACACATATTTTAGAAATATATTAAAAAGAAGGCTCAGTTTAAATTTGAGGAAAGGTTTTCCTAACACCTGTGTCAGCACATACACTAAGGGAAACATGACTGGAGGCATGGCACCGTGTAAACAATTTCACAAAATGCTCCTGTGTCATTCTCAGCACAATGGAGCTATGCAGTCAACAACCAGGGGTGTGCCTTAAATAATGAATAATGCTGGCGGTAACACTCGTAACAGTAGGGAACGTTTTGGCAGTTTGTGTTCAGGAGACACATGTATTCCCTTCAGGACCTCGCTTCAGAGGCAGGAAGCCATCTGTAGCATCTAATTATCACACAGAGGCACAGACTACATCCTCAACTTGGTTCCTGAAGGTGATATTACTTTGTAAATAAAATTTAAAAAGACACTGTTTTGTGTTTGAGTTAATAAAAAATAGGATTAATATTCAAGAATAGGATGGTTTCATTATGAAACCCAACTGGATTAAAGGGGACTTCACTATTCTGGTAGCCACTTCTTCATCAAAGAACGAGCAGAAACCTGCTTCCTTTAAGTTTCTATAGACTCAATGCAGTTTTAAGTCAACTGCTTCCTCAGTGGGAACTTCTCATTCACTCCAGGGACAAATACAATTTTTTCCGAACAATCTTTGGGATATATGATGCAACATGAGGTTTTGCAAAAAGTTGGGCAGACTGGTCTCACTCTTCCCCGTGTCCCAATGACCTGAAAGTGCCAGAGAAACTGGGGGAAGTCACCAAAGAGACGGAAGCTGCACCAGGTGAGGTGAGGTTCATGAAGAGACGAAGGGCTGTCCCAGCCCAGGGTGTGGTGGGAGGGGTGAGCTCACAGTATCAGCGGCTGCTCTGCCTGAGCCAGAGCTGATGTCTGGGACTCGTCAACTGAAGAACACGAATGGGTCCCAAACGCAGGGATCAAAGCCCGGTTTGCAGAGGGAAGTCACCATGAAGAGATGACAGACAACATGCTTTCATGTACATACTGGTCATGGTCTGAAAAGGAGCCAAGAATGGTGTTCTACATCAATGCACAGAGGGTCTGGGCGAGTGTTAATCTGATGGAGTTGGTTACACACATCACTAGGCCTTAGTCCAGAGCAGGCATTTCAACTTTGTTCACCCCAAACTCGAGTGACATCAGGTAGAAATATCTGGCACTACGGTGCCTGAAGCCAAAGCTGCCGGTTTGCTTCACACCACTTAATGCGAAACATTTTCAAAAAGAAAATTAGAAGAGGCCGTCATTTCCACTTGGTATGTTTTAAAAACATCTAGTTTGACTAGATAATAATTTAGATAAAAAGCAGCTTCCAAGAGAGGACAGAATTTGATCCGCACACACACACCCTGGAGAGCTCCAGGAGGCGGCCCTCAGCTCATTTGGAGTCACACACGGGCACAGCCTGGTGTGATGCCTTGGACACCCCCGGAAGCCTAGTTGGTCCAGGAACTTCTGTGAGCGCTCAGGTGGCCTCCCCAACACTTACACAGGGGATTCAGTCTTTCTTAAGTTATATCACAGCTAAGTCTCTTCCTTGTCCTCTAAAGTCCACGTTTATATTTTAAATATAAAAATGTATTTCTTTCCAAACTCTTCCCACCCTCCAAAAAACTATGGATTTTTTTCCTAAAACAAAACAAAAAAACCCAAAAATTTATCTGTCCATTTCCTTAGAAACAAATTGTGAAGCTCTGTCCTCTTCCATCACTGTCTAAGGTAGATTGGCTGTTGGAGTGGGCGGGGGTGGTTGGGGGCAGTTACGTCTGCCCTTCGTTTTTGTGGCTCAGGGGAGGTCCATTTTCCTCTTCTTTTTTGTCTGTGGCTTCGCTGAGTCCTAGAGGACTGTCTTCTTCATATGGTACACAAAAGTTGCTTTTTCCTTGGCTTTCACAGTAAACACATTCCTTAAGAGAAAAAACATGAGATCAGTAACAAAAATGTAGTTCAACCCAAGTGAGGTACAGTGACCAGGTGTGAGCTGTAAGGCTGCTGGAGGAGAGAGGAGGACCAGTTGTTTCTGCGGGTCCTGCCCAGCTGTGGGAGTCATGCCTGTTTTGGGAGGAGGCCAGCCCTGCTGGACCCTGATCTGAGAGGCGATCCGCCTATGGGGCCTGGAGTTAAGTTACTGGCCTCAGTTTTCTCATCTGTAAAGTGAGATATCAATAATATGCCAAGGGAGCGAGGGTCCTAAGGGGAGTGAGTCACTCCAGATGCCGCTAAGGTCGGGGCTGTGTAAGACGGGGACAATAACTGCAGCAGTTCAGAGGACACCGAGAACTGGCAAGAGCAGCTTCCAGGGTGTGGGCCTCAGGAGGGAGTGGGGAGAGAGGCTGGGGTACAGACATGTCTTTGGAACTCTCAGAAAGGAACACAGACCGAAGGGGCAGCTGGAGGGAGGCAGCCATTAAGAGCAGAAATTTAATATTCCTATTGTTACTGAACAGTCTACATGGATATTGAGGAGTTATGATAAGAGAGGTGTTTTTTTTTCAACATTGTTCCCAAAAAGGTCTTTTCAATATCTAATCTCATAGGAAGATTAAAAATTCTTATTTACTTATTGAAAGAGAGAGAGAGAGAGAGAGAGAGAGAGAGAGAGAGAGAGAGATATATATTTTTTTTTCCACATTTATATATATATTTTTTGGTTGATTCTTGTATGTGCCCTGACGGGATTGAACCCACAACCCTGGCGGCATATTGGAACTACGCTCTAACCCAGCGGTCACCAACCTTTCGGACCTCATGGACCATCAGTGGTCCGCGGACCACCGGTTGGCGACCGCTGCTCTAACCAACTAAGCTATCTGGTCAGGGTACGGTATTCTTTTTTTAAATAGAAAACAAAACTAAAAGAAAGAAAAAAACTCAAATTTCACACATGATTGAGATTAGATATTTCAGAAGACCTTTTTGGGAACTATGTTGAAAAGCCATTGGAAGAAAGTTGTTTGAAGTAGACTTATAGTGTCGCAGTATCTTTTCTCTTTTTCAATAAACATTGACTTCTGGAAGTTTTAAGCTCACAGAACAGTAAGCAGAATACCGGTGCTCCTGAGAGCCTTTCATGCGCTATCAGAAAAGCAGCTCGGTGAGCTTACCGACACATCGAGGGCCGTGGGCAGCCCGCCCGCCCGCATCCATGGGTGCACCTCCTGCAGCTCCTGCTTCTGCCGCTCGGTGAACCGGGGCTGCAGTTTCTGCAGCAACTTCAGCTTCTCTCTGTCCTCCTTCAAAACCGCGTCTACGTTTCTTCACAGCGTGTTTAGAAAGAGATAAGCTTTAGAATGTCTTTTTCCTTAAAGAACACACTTTTCTTTCAGTATCAATAATGGAATTTTAGATGAATTTGATTAATGCAAATTTCCTTTTCATTTAAAATAGATTACCCTGTTTAGGGTTACTTACCATCCCTAGTAATAATCTGTGGTTTTTCTATTAAAATGACAATCCAAGTCACAATTTTACTTTTACTTTAAATTATACAGAGGAGCTGGGTGTCTGCAGGTGCTTGGTTCTGTACAGGGTGATTCATCTGGGCAGTGCCTACCAGGAGGTGGTGGGTAGAAAACCTTCTCTTGCCTCCTGCCAACGCTGGGCCAGCGGGAAGCGGCCCTGGAGAGGGAGCCCCGGTCTACCCTAACCCAGAGACCTGGCTGTCCTGACCTCAGAGTTAATCCTCACTTCCTTCCCTCTTCTCTCCCTCTTTCC